GTTATAAACCGTGGACTCGTCATCAGCAAAATTCATCCATGTCCTAGTCGTACAGTTAATGTTTTTGGTCGTTGCGAGAAGAATTTGAAAATGGGAAAAAGATTTGTTTTTTCTTTATGTTATTTTGTCAAGGCGTGCAGAAAGGAGCTCACTCAAAAATTGACGCTCACTTGGCTAGTTCTTGACCAGTCTAACACCCGACTTGAGATTCTTCCTCAATACGTACGTTGATGCACACATTTATTAGAGCTTAAAAATTGACTTCTTCGGCCGAGTATCGACCATTTCATGCCGAAAAGTAAAAGTTTTTTGTGCTTTTGCTTGACGAGTTTACCAGATAATTGACGTGGCGTCGTTACTTTTAGGGTCTACCTACTACCCGGTCGCCAAGATTTCTGAGCAAAGCTATCGTCGTATTGCAGCCTTATTTGCAGGCATCAAGCAAGATAATCTATAATTGCATGCATGCACAACATAGAGACTGCAGGTCGTAATGTTTAGAAAATTACGTCGTTTGACTCCTTCCGTAAACTCGCCTCTTTCAAAAGTCCATTCCATTCGTGCAGGAAATCCAACGCAGACGCCTCTCCCCTGCTTGTCGTCACCGTCCAAGTATCGCCAAGATTTCAGCGTAGCTATCGTCGTATTGCAGCCGTATTTTGTAGGCAGTGAGCAAGACAATTCATGATTGCACGCATGCACAACATAAATGATAACTGCAGGTCATAATGTTAAAAAATATCACGGCGTTTGACTCCATCCGTAGATTTGCCCCTTGAAAACGTCAACAACATCCGTCCGGAAAATCTTGAGCAGAGATCAATCATATTCTTGTTATGAGCATCCTAGTATATTAAGCTTTCCTTACCGCTGTGACCAGCACTCTTCTTGGCCTTTTGGCTTAGATCAAGTGTAGTATCTGTTCTGTAACCAGGAAGACTGGTTACCTTCGCCTACTGGGCGAAGTTTTGTCTTCCGATTATTTCTGGACTTGCCAGTGGTAAGGAGCTTGCTCCTCCCGGCTAGGTGTCCTTGGGCTTACACTACCCTCAAGCGATGCCGAAACCCCCCCCACCTCCCCAACCCATACCCCTCACCCCACCCACACCGGAGACACTATTTCCTCTTTTTCGTGACGTCTCATTCATGGAGATGATGCGTGCGAATTCATGCGGAGGAGCATAAAAGGTGGACGCCTGTTCCGGTTTCGGACCGCGGCCTTGTGAAGCGATAATTTATGGCCATGTACTTCCCCATCATTAAAATCCAGCACAGCTTAGTAGCTACCATATACCATGGAGTGAAGCGAAAAATTCCATTGTCTCCTACGACCTGGAGCGCGACAGCGTCACGCATGCTTCGGAGTGCTACTCTATCTCGACGTTCTATCAGCTCGCCTTTGACTTTCAGCTTTATTATAACAAGAGACTTGAGGGTGTGGAATCATATGGCCAGAAATATTGTCGAAAAGATGTGTTCGTGATGTTTTGGCTGTGAAGTTGTGCGAACTTTCCTGCCTTGTTTGATCGTTTTGTTGACTTGGGGCGTCCACAGTTGCAGGAGGAAAGGCCTTATGCACTTCATCCCCGGTAAGAATTTCCCGCATAACATTTACAAGATCTTATCTTCACCTAAGCAGACTTAGATAAACCTGTTAATGGCTTTGCTTATGGACTTGTGTGCTGGATATCCAATTCATTTTTCAGGATCACCGACGAACAAATTTCTCGACGACTGGCAAGATATTGTTTTTTTTAAATAATCCACACATATATTTTCGAGAACAACCGAAGAAAAATTGCTCTGGAGCTCTTTCGTAATGACAATATTTAGTTGAAGAGATATAAGCCTACAATCAAAACAATCATGCTTCTGACCCTTACCTCCCATGTGCTCTTGCTCCCACGCGTTCGTATGTCCAACTCACAAATACAAGATCCACGAAAAAAGAGACATTCCATACTGAAATACAAATTTTACTCACCCGCCGCAAATTGTATGCTTATTCAGTGCGTCAAAGTACCCAAAATGTACCTGAAACCATCAAATTGATGGCCCATATCCAACAACCCCGGACCCAGGACGCTGCCTCCTTCCCGGCGGCGTGACTAGCCATCACTCATCCTTCTCGAGCAACTTCTCACATCACCACCGCAACCACATCCACATATGACTTGACAGCCATGCTGTCATTTTCTCGCACGCGGACGGCATCACAGAGAAGAATAGACGGGGATATTTCTCCGCCCAATACGACCTTCACCACCAGCGTCCTTCTCTTCCTCCTTGCCCTTTATCCCGCACCCGAGACCTCCGCCTTCTTCCTGCCCTCACCAATCTGCCAAAGTCCCGCCAGCTACATTGATAGAACAGGGTCCGCATGGTCGCTTGTCTCGCCTAGACCACAGGTACGTTAATAACGTCAATAACCTTGCCATAAGGGATGATTCGCCCTTTCAATCGTGAGGTATCCTATCTTTCCCTCAAAGACACCGTCTCACATCGTCGTCCTGCACGTTACAGTCTTCCCTCTATAGTTCGGAGAGTAATAATACTCCGCAACGTCCCAAACAGAAGAAAGGAGGGAGGGAAGGCTACAACAGGAATCGACGACGTGAGGAGGCACTAGATGGCATGAAGGTCGGCCACCGCTTTGAAATGGGTGAGTGAAGGAGGGAAGCGTCATGCGTGCATGACAAAGACCTCTACAAGCGTCGAAACACGATCGAGCAAGCACAAGACTATGCTCGTATTTGATTGAGAAGCGTGGGGCTTCTTGTCTGGAGCTTACCTGCCTTGCTCCCCCTTTCCCTCCTTTCCATTCTGTCTCACCCTCCCCACCCTCCTTCCTCTCTCAGGCTACGACATCGAGGAGGAAACGGTGCCCCTGGCAGAGGACGAGACGCTGCCCGTGATCGAAACCATCGCGTCCGCGGCGGATATGCGGAAGGGCGAAGACGTCTTGGCCCTCAGGGTCTCTCGCTTGACCACCGTCTCCTCCTTCTTCGTCCTCGTCTCCGGGAACAGCCGACCGCAAATTCAAGCCATTGCTGGTATGTCCCTGGTGTGCCGTGCTCCATACGATGCCGCCTTCCGTTTGTATTCGTCTGCTCTCCCTACCTTGCCTTTCTCCCACCCTCCCT